TGAGACCGGTTGCATACACAATGTGTGCCATGTGGGATCTCCAGGATGATTTGTGTGCCCTGGACAGACACGTGTTTAGGAAGTGCCTCCGGCTGCTCGAGCTTGAGCTCAGGGTTTCTGAGCCCGAGGAGAGACTGGCGTCACTGCAGTGCACACGGGAGGCTGAAGAGTTCATGGATCGAACGTTTCAGGAGGTGGTCACCCCACAGCCACAGAGGGTTCAGAAGGAGAGTGAGCGGGTGACCACCCGGCATGGTAGGAAGAGGGGACGGGCTGTGCAGAAATCCGCTGAGAGTGTGGCACTCACAAACCAGTTCTCTTTACTGAATACCGGTCAGGGTGACGGCACCTCTGGGGAGAGGAGTCAAAAGTAAATGGATGCACAGGGGAACACAGGGAAGAGTGTCAATGCAACTGTCATTGGGGACACAATGATGAAAGGAGTAGACGGGCGTTTCTGCAACCAAAGTCGTGACACTTGCATGGTATGTTGTCTCCCTGGTGCCAGGGTTGAAGACATCACGGAATGGGTGAAAAACGTTCTACAGGGGGAAGGGGAACATCCAGAAGTCGTAGTCCATGTTGGGATGGTGTCACTCAGGGGTCGGGATTGGGACCACTCATGTTTTTGATCCATATAAATGACCTGGACTTCGGTATAGGGAGTACAATTTCCAAGTTTGTAGATTATACTATGCTAAGAAAAGTAATAAACAGTGAGGAGGATAGTAACAGACTGCAAATGGACACAGACAGAATGGTAACGTGGGCCGACACGTGGCAGATGGAGTTTAATGTGGAAGTGATGCATTTTGGGGGGAAGAATGAGGAGAGACAACATAAGCTGATGGTACAATCTTAAAGGGGTGAAGGAACAGAGAGACCTGGGGGTCATTTAAGCAAATCCTTTGAAGGTGGCAGGACAGGTAGATACAGCTGTTAAAAAGGCATATGGATATTAAGCTTTATAAGTAGGGGCAAAGAATCCAAAAGTCAGGAGGTTGTGATAAACCTTTATATAACACCAATTAGGCCTCAGAAGGAGGTCATTCGGCCCATCATGTGCGTGCCGGCCTTTTGAAAAGAGCTACCCAATTCAGTCCCACTCCCCTGCTCTCTACCCCATATCCCTGCAAACTTGTCCTCCCCAAATAATTATCTAAAATTACTCTGGACACAGTTCTGGTCCCCGCACTTTAGGAAGGATGTCAAGGCATTGGAGCAAGTGCAAAGGAGATTACCATCCTTCAGATGGGACATTAAACCAAGGTCCTGTTGGTGGACATTAAGGATTAAAGAGGCCTGGTTGGTCACTCACTTCATGGCTGTAATGTGGGACATTGCTCTGCGCAAATGGACTACTGCATTTGACTACTTACAAAATGCGCAGTCACTCGATATTGCAGTAAATCCTGTCAAGGGCTTTGAGACACCTCCCGGTGTGAAAGGCGCTGGTCAAATTTAAGGAATTTGAATTTATTTAATTATGATAAATTTGTGGCTGGTATCATCCGTCCAAGAAAAATCTCTCATTCTAAATTATCAACAATCGTCTGTAGCGGAGCTCATTAAAACCCGAATCAAGGCCGTGATGGTCGGTTTCACTGCGTTCACCCCCGGCAGCCGGCCTGGGTCACTGGCTAAACACCATGGCCGACATCCGGGTCATCAGGTTGTGTGCTGCTCTCGCCGTTCACTAGATCACAAGATCAGTTCAGATAAAGAAAGGCCATCAGCCCATCTGTTCTCATCCTGCTAGAACACCATCCTCCCTCGACATCATCGAGCTGCTTTTTAAATGCATTTGCCTACAAAATACATCATCCTGTCAGGGTCCTGGCCTCAACCACCCTTCCTGGGAACCCTGTTCCAGTTAGTAATTACCCTCTGAGTCAAGAAACACTTCCTGTTGTCTGTTCTGAAATTTACCTTTGCAACTTGTAATAAAACCTTTCCCTTTGTAATGAGCTGTGAGCAACGATTATTATTATTTTATTTTTGGTCAACTGGGTATACGGAAACCCATCACTGCTTAAGAATATCCACACCAAGCTAAGAATTCCAGGCATCCCACCTATGCATGGAAATCCCATAGATAGATTGTTGGAATGGAATATGCACTCTCTCCCTGGAGGGATGCATCCTGCTTACCTAATTCTGGAAAGTGTAAGGCTCAGGTTGGCAAGAGCCAAGGCTTGGGGACCCTGGAGTGTGTGTTGGGTACTGCTGGAGTCTAACCAGCTAAAGCTGAATAGCTTGCCATTGATATCGCTGTCTGGCAAGCTTTCCCACTGATTGTCGAGCTCGGACCATTCTACCTGTAAAGGCTTTGGCTTGCAGTGTTAACAGGAGCTGAGTGGGATGACTCCTGCCCCCAGTGACTAGTCTGCCTTTTCAGGTCCTGCAGATGAGCCAGGCTGGCTGGGCAGTCATCAGCAGTGCCCTGCAATACTGCGGACCGGCCTGGCTCAGGAACCGGACTAGAGACCACCACAGAGGGCTGGCTCGATTCTGACATTCCATTGCAGGCACGTCACCTTATATTTGTATAGCGCCTTTCACATCAGGAGAGCATCCCAAGGCGCTGGACAATCAGTACATCGGACCCAAGATGGGGGTCGGGATCAATGGTGACTGAAGGCATGCTTGAAGAGGAGGGTCTTGAGACGGGTCTTGAAGGAGACAAGGGAGGCATTGAGGCGGAGGGACTTCGGAATGGAGTTCCAGAGGGTGGGGGCAGAGTGGCTGAAGGCCCGCCTACCAATGGTGAGCGAGGTGGGGGACATGAAGCAGTCTGGAGCCCGCTGTCGAAGGCAGCAGAGAGGTCGAGGAGGACAAGGAGACAGAGAGAGCCTGGTGGCAAATGTTCAGAATGTCATTAGTGACATTGATCAAGGCTGTTTCTGTACTGTGGGGAAGGGTTCAGAGAGGGAATGGCAGGTGAGGAAAGAGCAAAGCTGGGACACGACGGGTCCAGAGCCTTGGAGATGAAAGGGAGGATGGAGATGGGGTGATGGCTGGAGAGTAGAGATGGATCCAAGGAAGGTTTTTTGAGGATGGGGTTGATAACAGCTGTTTTTAGGGGAGTGGGAACAGTGCCACTGGATAAGGAGAGGTTGACACTGTTAGTTAAGAGAGGGGCCAGGAGATGGAGCTGGGAGGTGAGAAGAGGGATGGTGATGGGGTCCAGGGAGCAGGTGGTGGGCTTCATTTTTGAAATGATCGAGGTGAGGAAAGAGAGGGAGTCAGGGTCGAAGGTGTGTAAGCAGGGATGGGTGGGGGCCAGGGCATGAGGGGGAGGTGGCGAGGAGTAGTGGTGGATGGAGGAGAGGTAGCCGAACAAATCCCTTCGATTTTGGATTCGAGGAAGTCCAACATCTCCTCACAGTTGAAATTGGAGAGGACCAGTGAGGAGGAGTCATTTAAACAGCAGCTTCAGGCTGTGATAGGTTCACCGGTAACCCCGTCCATCATACCCAGCAACCCAATTACCGTGGTGATGGTGCGGCTCTCATCTCCAGCTCCTCACTGGGTCTATCCCCATAGAAATTCCCGTGTATTGGTACAGAATGTGCGCATTCTTTCCCAGGAGGGATGTACCCAGCACTTTGGGACGTCCACCCGACAGGAAAGGTGCTATACAAATGTAATTTTATATTGTATAGTACCCTGCTTACCTAAATCCGGCGAGTAATAGGTGTAGCAAGAGCCAAGGCTTGGGGACCCCAGAGTGTGTTGGGGTTTAATCACTTAGCTGGCTGTTGAGAGCGCTGTACAGCAAGCTTCCTGCTGCTTGTCCAGTTTGGAGATGTATGGAACATGCAGAGGTGTCTTTGTGCCACAAGAGGGTGATGTGTATATATATATATCTACTGTATGGTTTAGTTTGTATTCTTATGGAAAGAGAATTGTGGCCTCATACCTCATACTGTATAATATATATATTTTCCATTGCATATATATTTTCTAAATGAAGAAAAATCCTTGCATTTGACATAAATGTCAACAAAATGCAAGGATTAATAACCTCAAAATGTCTCAAAGCATTTCACAGCAGAATCGCGTATAGTGCAGTGATTGTGTGTTTGTAGGCGAACAAGACAGCAAATTTGCACATAGCAACGTCCCCCAAAACAGTCACAAATGACGAATTTTATCTGGGGGATTGTCGGCGAGGAGACCAGGAGGAACTCCCTTCTCTCTTCCTTTCTCCTTGTTAGAACCTTCTCACTGACAACTTCAATCTACATGGATACCCGTCCACCTCTCAACTATCCTTTAAATCCTGCATCTATGTTTTGACCCGTTCAGCTTTCCCCCACCTTCACAACATTGCCTGCCTCCGCCACTACCTCTCTCCTCAGGCCACCAAGATCTTCATCTATCTGCCCAGGATAGGCTACGCCAACTCTGCTCACTGGACTTTCGACTCCTTCCCCCAAAAGTTACTGACCATTCAGAACTCTGCAGCTTGTAACCTCTCCTGTACCAAACACCGTGAGTCAATCATCCCCATCCTCCACTGGGCTCCCCCTCCCCCAGAGGATCAAGTTCAAGATCCTTGTCCTTACGTTCAAATCCCTCTTGACCCTTCAAACCTTTGCAACCTTCTAAAATCTTACAGATCCACCCGCTCAGCAGATACTCAGTTCAGCTTTTAACCTTTCTGCCCAACCCTCTGGAACTCCAGTCCCTTTGCCTCACCCCTTTATTTGCCTCCTTCAAGATTGGTCTCAACATCTCCCTCTTTGACTATAACCTTTGTCATCTTCCCACCCCCAATGATCCCCATCCCTCCTGACACCAACCCTCATCTTGCTGCCTTGGTTTAATCTCTCATCAACAATCCAGCATACCCCCAACACTGCAACAGAGCATCAGATTAGATTATATGATTTCCAAATCCTGACGTGGGGCTTGGACCCACAGCCTTCTGACTCAGAGGCAAGAGTACTAGTCTTGACTGAGCCAGACGGACTCAGTTAACATGTACACAAGACTTGATTTTCCATAACCTTTTATTCCAAACCACTGCATCACACGATGATCCCATAAATCATTCACAAAAGATCAGGATTTATTTCCTATGTATATATCATATATTATACACATAGAAACAAACTGAGGGCGGACTCAAAACTGACATGTGTATCATCTTGGAGCCAGGTCCGTTTCAAGGAGTTCCCACACCTTTTAAACAGCGTTCAACAGAGAAGTAGATCATTATTTGGGGAGGACACATTTGCAGGACTATGGGGAGAGAGCGGGGGAGTGGGATTGATTTGGAAGCTCTTTTCAAAGAGACTCCACAGACACAATGGGCCAAATGACCTCCTTCTGTGCAGTATAATTCTGTGATTCTATGATCTTAAATCAGTAGACTTGATCAGAACTGATTGTTCAGAGGCCTATAATTCCATCTAGACCGAAATTTAATAACAATTTTATTCGGGGAATTGTTGGCCAGGCCACCATGAGAAACTCCTTTCTCTTTGAATAGTGTCATGGGATTGTTAACATCCGCCTGGACAGTCAGGATGGTGGAAAATTCTTCAATTCAATCTTGATTTGGAAGCTGGGCTTGTTTTACAATCTGGGGGGAGGACGGCTAAATACAGTGATGCTGTAATAGAGACCCAGATGCAGGTATCCGTTCGTCCCTCACCAAACCTCATGTTTAGTTAGGCCTGAAAGGAGTTGAGGAAGCATCTCGGACCTGCAGTTTGATTATGGAGATACCTGTCGTTAGCTCATTTGCCATTGTAGCTATCACCTCCATCTGGTCAGTGACAACCTGTAGCGCCACATTCCCTCTGCCAAGGGACGCCTTTGTGAAGGATGTGGACTCCTGAAGTTCTGAGTACATCTTGTTATATAAAGCTTCATCGGTCGCTGTCTTTTGGTCAGGAGCATACAGAGCATACTCAACATTATACTTGAATTGATCGAGAGGGTTGGAGAAAAGCAAGGATATTTGCTTGTCATCAAACATGTAGCTCAGGACACCAACACAGCCGTAGAGTGACAGCGGAGTCTTGATGAACACAGAAACTCCCTTCTGTCCTTTTTCTATGGTGGGGTCTGGTGGGCTGTTCACACGGCCACAGTAAGCATAGGTCCTGTAAATCACCAGGTGAAAGATACAATACCCATGAGACTCACAGCAAAGCATAGACTAGCTATTCAATACATTATGTTATTGGTTACCACCCCAGTCTGCTTCTTATGGGGTCCACATGTCCTTATTTACATCCTCGTCACTTTCTGGCTGGATTTCTCTAATTCTCTCCTCGCTGGCCTCCCTATACCCACGATCCATAAAGTTTAACTGGTCCAAAACTCCACTACCCTCCTCACACTAATAATAATCATAACAATCCTTACATTTGATATAATACTTGCATTTGATATAGCACCTTGTTACATCATTGAGATGTCTCCAAACTCCACAAGTCTATCACCATCGCCAGTCACCAATGGCTCACTGTCTCTCTCAATTTCACACAACCACCCCCTCCCCCACCCCATGTCCTGGCACTTGCCTTTCTCTACTCTAGTCCTTCCCCTTGTCGGATGTGTCAGCACTGCAACAATTAACCACAGTAAAGTACAAAGACAAGACTGTGCCAATTACTGACTAGCTGCCGTGTGTAATCTTACACACATTTGCAAGGTGTTACCAGGAGGAATGTGTGTTACGTAGAGGTAGATAGGACCAGTATCCAATTAGTAAGATTTAGTACCAGTACCCAATTAGTAAAAGGTACAGAGATGTATCTGTTGCTAATTAGTTATTAGATTAATAAAGTGTCTTTGACCAACAGAGAACTCAAGGAAAGATAAAGATGTCCTGATAATATTGATGGATAGTCAAAATGATCATTAACTTATTACCTAGTTCAACGATCTTAAAATGGCCTCTAGATTAGGGATGAGATCATTTTGGTCTCAGCGTTCTGTAGTGGCCAAAATAGTATATAAGAAATGAGAGTCTCTAGCAATCGTTGGAAACAGAACAGTCAGAGAATCCTGAAGCTATCTCTTACAATTTGTGTAGACTGATCAACTATGCTGGTGTAATAAAACTTTGATTCCAATACTCTACATTTCGAAATTCATCTGTTGTTCAACATTGAATGTGTAAGCCCTTTGGAGGCAAGTGGATAAGGTTGACACCCCACTCCTCTGCTTGTCCCCTATGATGGCTAACTCGGGCTTGCTGGGTGTCCCCTGTCTTACCCGCCCCACCATCGGTGGCCAAGCTTTTCAATTCCACAACCCTCACCTCTGAAACTCCCTCCCTCATTGCTCCGTTTGACTCCCTCTGTCTTCAAATCCCACCTCAAAATCTAGCTGTGGTCATCCCCTTCTCCTCCTTCCCTCTACCCTTGCTCAGTGTCCATACCACCACTCTAAAGTGCTCGGAGACATTAATCTGGTGAAGACCGTGATATAAATACAAGTTATTGTTAACAGCCACAAACAAACAGCCACAACAATTGTTCTCGTTACTTATATAATAAATAATCCTTGCATTTGATATAGCACTTTTCATGTCTTCTCGACGTCTCAAAGCGCTTCACAGAATATACTGTAAAGTGAATTGACTGTATATTTGTGGGCGAAACGCGGCAGCCAATTGCACACAGCAGTGTCCCACAAACAGTCGTGGATTGAAGTGACCAATTTATTATTGTTTTTTTTCTTGAGGGATTATTATCAGGTGTGTGGAGTAAGGAAACTTGGCCAAAGATTTGCCCTGCTGAGAATTGAACCCGGATCTCTTGCTTGTGAGGCGAGTGCTCCAACCACTGAGCTGCAAGATTGCTTTTCTGCAATGCACATTTATTTTTATATCAGATAAAGTCTTTAGGGCAGGTAGGGTGGAAAAGCCAGAGACAGGAAGCTGGCCAGAGAGAGCAGTGGGAGAAAGATCATAAAAGACTAGCAATCTCACCTATCCCAAAGCCCAGGGCTAAAACTCTTTGGTGTATATTTAAATAACTTTAAATAGATGACAGAATCTTACACCAACACGTCTAGAATTAGAGTTTCGCCCACAAAATGCACAGTCGCTCCACTTTATAACTTTGAGACACCTCAATGATGTGTCAAGGCCTATATCAAATGCAGGAAATATTATTATTAATGCAACAGTCTTAACTATACCATGACCTCAGACAAACCCGAAACAATCGAAACAATTTTCCAGAAAGTTTACAGAAGGTGTTGTACTCACGCAGGCAGAGACAGCTTGAAATGTTTGCTGTTGTTGGTGATTTCAATCCCAACACATCTGGTGGAATTAATATCTTTCACAATCTCCTCTATCGACTTTCCAGACATGTCTGCAAAACAAAAGCCTAAGTATTATCCCTCAGCAAATGGTGTTAAGGTGAAAATATCATCTGCAACACACGATCAGGAGTAAAGGATTTATACCCAGGTCTTGTCCTTTTCTCTCCTCTCTTTGCTGTGGTTCCTGATCCTGAGGCTTGTGGCAGCTCCGCAAACTCCACACAAGTGATAGAGCGAGGAGCAGAAAGCCAGGAGGGTTAAAGGCAGCAACACACCCCCACACCCTCCCTGAATACTGATCAGGTCAATGTCACACAAACACCCTCCTCCATACACACACACATTCTCACACACTCACCTCTCTCACACACAAACACACACACTCATACACGCATACACTCACCTTCTCTCTCTCACACACACTCAGGAGTGATTGTACAGGACTCCTGTAATAATAATCCTTGCATTTGATATAGTGCTTTTCACGTCTTCTGGACGTCTCAAAGCGCTTCACAGAATGTACTGTATACATGAGGACTCCGGTAGCTCAGTGGTTAGAGCACTCGCCTCGCAAGGAAGAGACCTGGGTTCGATTCCCAGCAGAGCAAATCCTTGGGCAAGTTTCCTTACTCCACACGCCTGATAATAATCGCTGAAGAAGAAAAAGCAAGAATAAATTGGTCACTTCAATCCACAACTGTTTATGGGACACTACTGTGCGCAATCAGCTGCCATGTTATGCCCATAAATATACAGTCAATTCAATTTACAGCATATTCTGTGAACAACAACAACAAAATTACATTTATAGAGCGCCTTTCATGTCGGGAAGTGCTTTGAAATGTCTCAACGGTAGGATAATATAATAATAATCAGCAGAGTTCTGAACCAGTTGGATTTCATGAGGTGGTGGAGTTGGGGAGACCGGCGGGGAGGGAGTTGGAAAAATGGAGGTGGGAGTTGCCAAATGGAGTTATAAAATGTTACAGCACAAAACAGGCCATTCGCTCCAAACTGTTTATTCCAGGGATTTTTACTCCACACGAGCTTCCGCGCCTCCAACCTTCCCAATTGCCTCTCCTCTTCCCCTCTATTCCCTTCTCTTTCATATCTGCAGCAAGTTTCCTCTTAAATACATTGATGTGCTTTACTTCAACCACAGCTTCCAGCAGTGAGTCCACATTCTCGCTAGTTTGTGGATTCCTGTAGTTCAGTGGTTCAAGCACTTGCCTCGCAAGTGAAAGACCTGGGTTTGATTCCCGGAAGGGCGAAACGTTGAGTAAGTTTCTTTACTCTACAAGCCTTTGTTTATCTAGCAGTAAGTAGGAACCCCTCACCAACACACACTCACTCACAAACACACCAACCGCACTCCCTCCCTCCCTCCCTCCCACACAAACACACTCAACTCCCACATAAGTGAGTCCTCCAGCAGTTACCCCATCGCCCACTCTAGGGTCCCCAAGCAAGCCTGTGCCTAATACTCTCCAGGGTTAGGTACGCAGGACCGCTTGACTCCAGGGAGAGAGTGCAAAACACCTGCAAAATTCCTGTGTTTCCATTCCAAAACACAGGAATTTCCAGGTGTAAGTGAGGTGGATGGAACCCGCATATTTCTTTCTTACTGAGTGAAATAAAATATCACAAACTCAGGTTTGACAACATTAATTGAGCTTCACCCGACTCTAGGTCAACTCTGAGCCAAGCCTGATACATACGCTGTACCCACACAGGATTCAGTGATACGTTTGTAAAGGGTTTTATTCAGTCTATTCAAAAGTAGAATGTTTATTACTATTGATTACAGAGTCAGACATTTACTATTGACTTCTAGGATGGCACTCCACTGCAGTGTTAGGGAGTGATATGGGACGAGCCATCCTTCAGATGAGACATTTATTTGTTCAGATGGACGTTAAACATCCCACGATATTACTCAAAAAGAGAAGGGAGTTTGTCCCCAAACTTCTCCAAAACGAGGGACGTAGTCTTAAAATTAGAACCAGAGCATTAAGCGTGAAATCAGGAAGCATTTTTTCACTCAAAGGGTGGTAGAAATATGGAATTCTCTCCCCCAAAAGGCCGTGGATGCTGGATCCATCCACACCTTTAAGAGTGAGGTTGATAGATTTTTGCTTGGTCAGGGAACTAAGAGATATGGTGAGAAAACGGGAAATTAAAATTGAAAAGATTAGTTGAGGTACAGATCAGCCATTATCTAATTAAATGATGGAACAGGCTCGAAGGGCTGAATAGCCTCCTCCTGTTCCTACGTTCCTACGTCCTGGCCAACAACAACAACTTGGATTTATATAGCGCCCTCCACGCCGGACGGCGTCTCAGAGCACTTCACAGTAATGGATCTCGGGACCTAGCCAGGCGGAGAGGTAGGGGCCAAGGGGGAGGGGGGGGGAAGATGACCAAAGGTGCAGTCGAAAAGAAAGGTCGTCAGCCGAGACCTGAAAATAGGAAGAGAGGGGACGAGGCGAAGGGAGTGAGGAAGGGAGTTCCAGAACCTCGGGCCATAGTGGCTGAAGGCACGGCCGCCGAGGGTGGAGCGGAGGATTCGGGGGACAAGGAGGAGGCCAGACCCGGTGGAGCGAAGGTAATGGGCACTGTGTGAGGAGAGAGGAGGTTAGAGAGGTCGTGGGGTGCAGAGGAGTGGAGGGATTTGAAGACAAGAGTGAGGATCTTGAAGTCGATCCTCTCTGGGACAGGGAGCCAGTGCTGTCTGGCCAGGACTGGGGTAATCGGGGAGCGGAAGTTGGTGCGGGTACGAATGCGGGCCGCAGAGTTTTGGATGACCTCTGATAACATTGCTGATTTACTTCATAGTTGTTTGTAGGATATCTCTGCATAGTAACTGGTTGCTGGGTTTGCCTATGAAATACAACGACAGAATTATCCACTGTAAGACTGAAACCTGAATTACTTAACCAACAGGTCCTACATAATGAATGTTTACTGTTCCTCATTACGGAGAAATTTCTCAAAGTCGTCACAGGAATTGCAGTCAAATGCGAGGCCCCACCAACAGCTCTCGAGCTCCGTTCTCCTATCCAGCACTGCAAACAGGATTCGTAGGGAGTGGGACCGCAGGAGGTAACAGAGGTCAGGCATGGTGAGGATGTGGAGGTCTTTGAATGTTAGAACAAAACAACAACAACAAAATTACATTTGTATAGCGCCTACTCGTAAAGTCAGCCCGGCTCAGCGTGTGTCAGCCCGGCTCAGTGTGTGTCAGCCCGGCTCAGTGTGTGTCAGCCCGGCTCAGTGTGTGTCAGCCCGGCTCAGTGTGTGTCAGCCCGGCTCAGTGTGTGTCAGCCCGGCTCAGTGTGTGTCAGCCCGGCTCAGTGTGTGACAGCCCGGCTCAGTGTGTGACAGCCCGGCTCAGTGTGTGTCAGCCCGGCTCAGTGTGTGTCAGCCCGGCTCAGTGTGTGTCAGCCCGGCTCAGTGTGTGTCAGCCCGGCTCAGCCCGGCTCATGTGTGTCAGCCCGGCTCAGTGTGTGTCAGCCCGGCTCAGTGTGTGTCAGCCCGGCTCAGTGTGGGTCAGCCCGGCTCAGTTGATTGCACTCTTGCCTCAGAAGGTTGTTGGTTCAAGCAGGGCCGTGCCGCTACCGTGGGCGGAGCTGCTCTAGCTCCTCTCACAACGTCTCCACTTTGTTTCTGGAAACAGATTCTCCTCGAGCCCCCACAGCATCTCGTGCAGTGTTCCTCAGGGCTCTGTCCTTGGTCCCCTCCTCTTCAATATTTATCTGCTCCCTCTTGATGACATCATCCCCAGACATGGGATCAACTTCCACATGTGTGCGGATGACACCCAACTCTATCTCTCTGCCTCCCCCCCGACTCCAGGACAACTGCTTTTCTGTCCGCTCACTCCGCTCAGCAGGATCTGGCCTGCTCCACGTGCCCCGCCCAGCCTGTCCCACCATCGGTGCTCGGGCCTTCAGCCTCTCTGCCCTCAACCACATTCCCTTCAACTCGCTCCCTCCCTTGCCTCCTTCAAAGCACGTCTCAAGACCCTTCTCTTCGACTGTGCCTTCGGCCACCCTCCTACCCCCACCCTCCCTGCCCTCCACCCTCCTGTACCCCAATCCCCCCCCTGCTCAGGTTCAGCATCTTGGGACGTCCTCCCGACGTGAAAGCACTATACAAATGTAATTTTGTATTGTATTGTATGGGTATGTGTCTACGAGTGCGTGTCTCTTTCTCTGTCTGTGAGGTGTCTCTCTCTCTCTGTGTCTGTGAACGCACATGTGTGTCTCTCTCTGTGTCTGAGGGTGAGCGTCTGTCTGTGTCTCTGTGTCTGTGTATGGAGGCGTTTCCCGAGAGGCAAGATCTGGTGACTTCCTGTAGCCCCACAGTCAGGACACGGGTGAGCTTGGCCAGCAATGCTGGTATTTGGCTGATCTCCAAACCTTCAAATGTAGTACAGGATGGAAACTGACTTTTGGCCTCTCTGGCCTGGGCTGGTATCCTCCCCTCCCTCGCCACCGGAGTGGGCCACCCAGTTTTTGTTAAAGAAAGCATTAGTAAGTTTTTTTGCAACAATTTAACCTGTGTTATTTCTTCATGTTTAGTTTTGATCAATAAAGTGAAAAAATACAGGTTGATATTAAAATATACCTCCATAGCACCAATCACCCCACAATTTTCCACAAAACCTGGCAATGTTTGGCAAATATTTCCGCAATTTTCTATTGGCCCTGGCTGTAAGCAGTGATCAGACAGACTCTGGCTTTTCAGTCTTGAGAGAATATGACTTAGAGGAGACCTTAAAGAAGTGCCAAATTTTAAATGGGTTTGTAAAAGCAAACCCAGATCATTACTTTATGATGCAGCAAGACAGTAGAATGAGAGGACACAGGTTGATTTGTAAAGGCCAATTTCAGGACATGCACAAGGAGTTTTTCTTTACTTAGAGTAATTAGGGTAATTAACGAATGGAACAGGTTGCCAGGAAGGGTGGTTGATGCTCGGAAACTAACTTATTTAAAAAGCAGCTTGATGCTGTGATGGAGGGACAGTAGGTTGGTATTCTGGAGGGATGAGATCAGATGGACCAAAGGGTTTCTTCATCCAGAACAATCCTGTGATCTTGCGATCATAAGCCTTAGGACAAAATGGGCTCGTGGGTTAAGACTAGTAATTTCTGTTTAACTTCAGGGTTAAAGGAGGGGCATTAAAGGTCAAAGTCTTTTTGGTACGCCATACCTTAGGGCTCCTTATCTCTTCTTTAGCAAACTAATTCAGTGGAAGATATGATTTCCAACTGAAACCAGTTTATAACAGTCAGATGAAGCCACACTCTGTAG